AAATTTAGTTTATCCATTGCAGGGTATAACAAGTATTGCTTCCTCATTATTCCTAAAATTTAGCTTTTGTGGGTCAATTGCAGGGATTGGTATCTGGGGCAGGGTTTGGTTAGGCTCCCCCACTGCCTAGATTAGACTCATGGGACAGATCCCATTTGGGAGGCCACTCCAGAGTTTCAGCACTGCTACCAAGAAGGACCTGTCTCTCATGTTCACTCACCAAATCTCCCAGGGTGACATACTGGAAGTAAGTCCTTTAAGGTTGATCTTAACTCCTGGTCCTTTAGTCATTGTGATCCTAAGGTACCTGAGCTTATCTTCTAGAGCCAGGATTTTGAAATGAGCCTTCAAGCCAGTGACATCAGCAATACTGCTGACGGAAGCCAATGGAGCTGACATAATTTACATTGTCTGACCTGTGGGTACTACACAGGAGTTTGGCTTGGTTTTGGACTGATGGGTCTTCCAGAGTACTTCAAAGCAGTCTCCCTAGGAATCCATTCCAGTCATTCTATATGGAAGTTGGTGAAGCATGGATGACTGAAGCCAAGTCCACCTTCTTGAGCTGAGGCAGGTAAATTTAGCAGTACCAGCTGGTATGTCAGCTGAAGCCAGTAAAAAGACACAGAAGGGAACAAGTTAATAAATGAAGTGAATACATGAAGATAACATGACAAGATTTTTTCAAAATAAGGGCAAGAGAAGAGCACTTGGCCAAAATATTGGTTCTCAGTTTCATAAATCATGATTTATGAAGCCTGGGGGGGAAAAAGTAAGAATTAATATGTGATCAGGTCACCATCTCCAAGCAAATCAAAGACCTCACCCACCCAGATCCCCCAGTTCTTGTCTAGCTTCTTTCCTAACTATTTTCTTCCGGTTTCTCCTTTTCCATGGAAGTCTGGCAGAAGATGATAGTTTGCCCAGAAAAAGTATTGTATCCAACACTGATCCAGATGGAATTAGTACGGGAAAAGAGTCAGAAAATCAGAGAGAGGAAGAGGCAAAATTGTGTTTACTGTTGAGCAATGAAGAAGTAGTTACATTTTCTACATACCTCAACAAAAGTGCACTTGTACAGTTAAAATAACTACAGGGGAGAAAAATGACCTAATTTGCAAGCACAGAATAAAAACAACATCAGAGTAAGCTATCTAAAATCATGTCCAGGTTCAAAGACTGGGGGTGGAGACTGCAGCAAAGGAAGTTGCTGGCTGGTCACATTTCCATCAAGGAAAATTGAATCATATGAAACACAGCAGGGCAGGGACACACTGGTCAAGCAAAGGCTGTTGGAGACCTCCAGAAGCACACTGTGGAAGATGTGAATCATTCTCCCACAAAAAGACACGCTGTCCCAGCTGAATCTTCACACGTGGTTGACCTTGCCACCATTGAGGAATTGTCTTTTAGAACTACTGCACAATTCTTTTTTTTTTTTAAATCGGGTATCATGGGAGACAAGTATTTGGTAACTTTGAGGAACCCAGCAAGACTATATCTGAGCAACCCAGCAGCATCTTCTTCCCATTTATGTCTTCTCTTCAGCTTAAGGAGGCCAGAGAACATGAGGGAAATCAAAATTGTAAATCCTTCAGGAGAAAAGGACTACTTAGTACATATAGGCAGCATATAGCAATAAACTAAGTCCTTTATGTATACTTAAAGTGCTTTATACAAAGGCCTTTCAAAATATGAAATAAACAAATAACTAGCTATTCATTACAGAGTGCAGTAGGGAAGCAATTAATATTGCTCTCTAGGCAATTTGATTTCCATGTAACAGAACTGACTGATCGTCCCATGCAAGAACTAAACAATTGAATGAGGAAAACTTTTTATTTTCTTTTGCTGGAAAGCTATTAAATATGTGACCATGCTTGAAGAATTACATGCAGTCCTCTCCAAGTCTACTCAGAAAGAACATGGTACTGGTGTGTCTTAGTTTGCATAACAGAGCACCATTGATAATGAGACAAAAATGTAAGCAAAGGGGAGCTGTTCTTCCCCCATTCAGTGAATTTTGGTGAAGTTTTCTAATATTTTGTGGGTTTTTTGTACACCTTACCAACATAGAACTTTTCTCTTACTCTTGCTTTTTACATACAATTTCTTCTTTCTTCTTCTCTGACCTTTTCAACTTATTCTTTTGCAAGAGTTCATTCTTTTATCTGTTGGCTTTTCTTTGTCTGTAGTGACATTTTAAGAAATACTTGTTATCTTTTTTTTTTAAACTATGAGTCATCATTCTGCTACAGCTAGTTGAAGTTCTATTTACCCTAAGGATGCATTTTAATTATATTGCCAGATATAAAGCAACTAACAATTCTTCAGACTATTTGCTTTTCCCTGGACCAGTTACTCCAAATAATTACTTCAAAAATACTCTTGGTAGAGATGCTATATATCATAGGACATAGGGACTTCCAGCACTTGTTCTTGCTATTTGCACATCCATGATGATTCAGTGGAACTACTATTCCACAGCCTCTCTTGTCTATAAATAATTTTGTGTCGTAAAGGATAAATGTCATAGGTTACTTTGAAAAATAGCTCAAAGCAATCAATGCTGATCATTTAAGATGGTCAACCTTATACACAATGCAATTTGAAATGGTCACAAAATATTATCAAAACCAGTCTATAATCTTGTTCTTATATATGGATATATATGGAGTTAAATGTCTATACAAAGATAGGCGGGCCTGGCGTGCTCTGGTCCATGGGGTCACGAAGAGTCGGACACGACTAAACGAATGAACGAAAATGTCTATACAGAGTGTCAAATGTCCCAGAATTAACATTTACTACCCCTACAAAGTTCTAAACCTATACAATCCTGTGTGTTGGGACTGGGTGCTTTGGATGAGGTTTTCGATGAAGCCTTCTTTGTTGTAATATCTATGTTAATGGTTTTTGATTGCTGACCTATTGGTGTCAGTTCAACTAATTAGAAGCATCTCCATGGAATGCCAGGTTCATGTTGCATCAGCAGTTCAAGACTTTTGGACAGTGGTTTAGGTATCCGTATTGCTTTTGCATGTCTTGTTCTTGGTTTCTGTGTAAAAAGCCTGCCTGAACCCTTGAATCAACTTTGTTTTCCACATCTTTTTATTTATATTAGAAATCCAAGAGATTGTTAACTGAAGTTCCTAGAATATTCCAGGAATATCGATTCTTAGAGATTTATTGATTTACAGTATTTGGGACTTCAGTGTATTTCCTGGGGCTAGTTGTGGCTCACTGTTTTGGACTAATTCTTGCCAGCATGATACTGAATTACACAGTCCTAACTATGCAAGACATGGTTTAGCATTGTTTTAACCCTTTACTCAGTGTTGTCAGCATGGCCAAGTTTTAAATACAGTACATAGATAAATGATTAGGTTTAAAAACATTCTGAGATTGAGGTTCTGATGGTATCAGGCCATTCCACTGTTTATTTCTCAGTTTATATGTCCTCCCAGGAACATTGGGAGCTACTTTAAACAAAATCAAGCCACATAGTTAAGTGTCACCCATTGAGATTGAAGGTAACTCTCTAGCATTTCAAAGATGAATTAGATGTTAAAGGTAATTTGTATTCTCTGTAGTTCACCTATTTTTCCTCCTACACTGTTAATTAATTAGACTTTCAAATTAAGCCCATGTTCATACAGTATATAACAAAGCACAATAAATTTAAGATATAGAGGTAAGGAAAAGCATATCCTTTAACAGACATCTCTCGTAAATCAAGGGAGCACCTCTTCTAAATATATGCTAAATCTGTCATTGAGGAAATCATATAGAAGGCAGGTACTCTTCCTAACCACATGGTAATACTAAATTGAGTAAAACATTTAATTTGACCCCATATTATATAGTTCTAAGTTTGTAAGTGACTATTTTGAACATAATCACACTTTTAAAATGAGCTCTCCTTTCTGCACTAAACAACAACTGGAATTTTATTTATGTACATACAAGTGGCAATTTAAAAGAACAGTGCATCAAAACTGGATTATTTCAAAATATTTGGAGAAATAATTTGTATAAAAGTGTTCAGAGTTCATATTTGGCTCTAGATATGTATTGAAGCACTAATAAAACCACTTTGACAGGCTAGTTAGAATTCAGAGGAAAAGTCAATACAAGATGTTCCACCATATAAAATTCTGTTGTGCAAACTGGTCTGATAATACCATGTTGCCCCGAAAATAAGACAGGGTCTTATATTAATTTTTGCTCCAAAAATGCATTAGGGCTTATTTTCAGGGGATGTTTTATTTTTTCATGTACAACAATCTACATTATTCAAATACAGTCATGTCATCATCTTCTGGTTGCTGCACAATGGTGGAGGGTGGGGTTTCACTTAACTGGGGCTTATTTGGGGGGTAAGGCTTACATTATGAGCATCCTGAAAAATCATACTAGGGCTTATTTTCAGGTTAGGTCTTATTTTGGGGGAAACAGGGTAGTAATTAATTAATTAATTAATTAGAGTTAGCAATTTGTAGTGACCTAAGATGTGCTGATTGTCAGTACTTGGAATGTACACATTCCAACTTGGTTTTTTTAAAAAGAGATTTTTGCATGCTAGTATATTGAATTTTTCTTAATAAGATTTTGAAAATCCTATCCCAATGAAACATACAGACATTTTCTATAAAAATAGAATAATAAGAGCTAAAGAGTAATTCACTCCTTAAACTAAAATTATTCTTAGATAAATACATTGCCAAAGTGCTTCTTTACGGTATCTCTTTTTAGAAAGTGTTTTAAACATTTATTCTAATCGGGAACGAGAATGCATTGTGAAGCTGTTTTTATAACCAATAATATTGTTGTGAAGAAGATTTGTCAAACACCTGCCATGCAAAATTGTATAGCATCAAAGAAAAGGAGGGGAGGATGTCTGGGTAGCATTTGTCAGAGCCCGCCTCCCGGTATACATCACATAACTCAGTTAAAGTGGTACTACGGTGACAGTAACCAACCAGAAAGCATCATGCAAATCAGAACACTGTATCCTGTACCAACTGCTCTGTTGCTAGCTGGTTGTTATAGTGATAACATGAGGCCTTGCCTCCCGGCTTCTCCTGGGGGGGGGCAAGGGAAGCCCTTTAATTTAGCAAGGGAAGGAAAAGAAGAGAGGGGAGAAGGGGTGGGGAGAAGAGAAAGAAAATAAAACGAGAAAGGAAAACAATATCCGGCTGAGAAGAGAATAGGACAGAGGCCATCACTGCAAGAAGCACCCACTGGCCATGCCAGTGCTGCTTGCCTCTAATGCTGAGTCAGAAACAGGCATCCCAAAATCCCTTTCTAATGAGCTGCCTTCAGAAACCATGGAGGAGATAGAGCACACATGCCCCCAGCCGCGATTGGTAAGTAAAGAGATAGATGATCCTTTTAATTGCTGCCCTTGGTCGCTTTGCTGTGTTAGGATATAAGCCGGGGAATCAAGGCTTTATAGTCTCAGGGGGGGAAATGCAAGTAGGGCCTGATCTGTTTTTGCTTTGCCTGTTTATTGTCTGTATTGTGAAGATTCAGATAACAAAGTGTTAATTGTGCCTGCGGCATGGAGGGAGACCGTTTGGAGGGATTGTAACAGGCTTCCCTGGCCAGTGATTCTCCATGGAAGCATGTCAGGCTTTGTAAAGAAAAGATGCATTTTCCAACAGCCTTTGTTGAGTTCAGGTTTTCAGCAGAACTGCTTATTTACTCCTTGCTTTGTCTTTGTTTTTCTTCTGACTTTCCCAAAATAATGACATGCAGGGAGGTGGGACTGGACGTGAACCAAGTTTCACTATCAGATAAATCAAAACCTGTTTATTAGAGGAGCACCAGAAAAAAAAACTCATCAATTTTATTTTTCCCTTCAAAGTGAAATAAAGAGTTTGAAAATATGTGGCACTCTTTTCAAGCCACTGAGTATATATAAACCCAGAAAGAATTGAATTACAAGAAGAAGGGAAAAAACTGTAATTTCTACAGTAATCAGTTTATTGCAACCATTCCTATAAAGAAACCAGCTGCATGCAGAGTCTCTTTCCCTCACTGCTTGTCTGCTTTCTTGAAACAGACCAGTTTTCACTTTCACTGCTGTGATTGTACATGTGTTATATTACATTAGCCTGAAATTTTGCTTGCTATGTTTTTAAAAAAGTAGAAACAGTTGCAGGCCAGTTTAATACTGGACCTTTCCATGCATTATATCTGAGCAACACTGAAGAGTTCTGTATTACAAGAAATGGGCACCCTTGCAGTTATAATTTCAAAGGGTGGTGTAAAGAAATTGTTTCTGACATATATGCATAGAGTGAGATTTTTTTCCCTAAAGGCCTACCTACTTAGAAGTCATTCCAGTTTATCTAAGTACTATTTACGTCTGAGTAAATATGAATTAGAGTGGGCTGCAGAGATTCTAAGTAGTAGGGACAGTATTGATTTTTACCCTTGAAATCTGTACTACTCCTCATTAATCTAACGAAAGTGTGATTCCTATAACAAGCACTTAGGAGGGTGCATACTTTCCCCCCTAAAAAATGAAAGGCCTTCCTTTTTCCTCTTTCCTCAAATGTATCACTCCCATTCTGTATCCCAGGAAAGGTGCTTCTTGAGAAAGCAAAACTCAGAAAGACAGCCAGTTTGCCAGGGTGTCACTGTGACGTAACTGGCACTTCCCACTGAAAGTATCTAACACTGGAAAGAACAACTAACTAGGTTTTGAGCAGTTCTTCAAAATGAAAACAGATTCTTTATAATTATATTCAGCCTTCTATTTAAAATGGTAGTCTTATTCTGTAGTAATTGACTGAGTTCATGGACATGAATTGATTTATATGGTTAAATTTCTCTACACATCAGATTGTTATGTCAAAAATGAGAGGGAGGCATGCATTCTGCTTGCAATATATGTTTGTCAAAAGTTTTTTATTGAATTATCAAGCACCGCAAAGTATAGTGGAATGTATTAAAAAATTATCTCACAAGGAAAATAATCGGGTAGGCTCATATGGAAGGACAAGCACCGCAAAGTATAGTGGAATATATTAAAAAATTATCTCACAAGGAAAATAATGAAAGGGATCAATGTAAACATGATATTCCTACATGCATATTACCTATTGTGATTGTCTTGTTCTAACATTGTTTATAGATTCTAAAACTATATGAATACAATATTATGAGAATTAATAATAATCTGTCCTAGATTTCTACAAGCAGTTTAAATTTAGCACAAAACAGACAGCTTAAATAAACATTTCTGGGCTTCTTATACTTCTGAGCTGAGATTATTGGAAGGTTATGTATGTTTCGTATACATTTTCTCATTTCCACATGACATAGTGTATCTGCTATTAATGACAAGAAGAAAAAGTAGAGGGAGTATACTTTGTTGAGTCAGGAAGGAGTCAGGAAGAAACTGTCACTTGAAGGTCTAATGGAGGAAGTGATGCATAAGTATGCCACCTCAGATTTTATGTGGAAATTTAGGTCAGATCAATATACATAAAAATCCCTGCCCATATGTGAAGCTTCACAGTATGGGCAAAAGAAAAGACTCAAAGAATTTGAAAACAGTTACCAGTTCAACTGCTTCTAAACTCCCAACCAATTTTCCAAAAGGATCAAAATATCTTTTTATATTTGTAGTTTTAGAAGAGGTAGCCATGTTAGTCTGTGCAAGCATATCAGATAAAACCCAAGGAAAAAAATAATAAAAATAAAAAAGGCAAAACCTTGTAGCACCATAAGACTGTTATATTTTAATGTGAGCTTTCATTAACAAGTCCAATTCTTCATACATACAATAAAGAGTTCACAAAGTAAAATATTTGTATTATACACTATATGGTAAACTAACTTTGTTTGATGACTTGTTAAGGGAGGCCAATCAGGGAAGTGTGATCTTGTTGGTCCTCCTGGGTTTTTCAGCAGTGTTCGATACAGTCAACCACAGTATCTTCCTGGACAGACTTTCAGTTTTAGGAATTAGAGGGTCGTATTTACTCTGACTCCAGTCCTTTGAGAAAGGTCATGTCCAGGGAGTGCAGCTTGGGGATGTTGTTTCAGCTCCAAGGGTTCTTTGTTGTAGAGTCCCCCACAGGAATTAATCATTTCCCCAATGCTCTTTAACATCTATATGAAGTCGTTGGGGGAGGTCATCCAAAGATCTGGAGTTTGCTGTCATCAATATGCTGATGACACGCATCTCTATCTCTCCATTTCATCTTCAGCAGTGGAAGCTTTGTGAACCCTGGAACAATTCTTGGCCACAGCAATGGATTGGACATGGGCATGGGCTAACAGATTGAAATTGAATCTTTATAAGATGGAGATCTTGTTAGGTGGAGAATCTGCCCTCTTAGGAGGTATGCTGGACGGGGTCACACTCCCCCTAAAAGACCAAGTCTGTGACTTGAGTGTGCTCTTTCATTCATTCAGTTTGTATTCTGCTCCTATTAATGTCACAGCACTACTCGGGGGGGGGGTTACAACACATGTAATAGAAAACAAAAACAAAAATAGAAACATTAAAAACAGCAACAATAATCCTTAAAAAACCCAACAAACAAACAAAAAACATTTAGCCATGTCCAGACCTATCTTTTTCCATCTTCAGCAGATTGCTCAGTTGCGGCCCTACTTGGACAGGAAATCCTGAATGACTTTGGTCCATGAATCTCTAGAATTTACTTTGGCAACTCTCTACATGGGGCTTCCTTTGAAGGCAATATGGAATCTTCAGCAGGTGCAAAATGCAGTAGTCACGTTTATGTAGAGCGTATAAAGATATAATTACATCTACCAGATCCTGGCACATCTGCATTGGCTTGCTATATGCTTCTGTGCCAAATTCAAGCCCTTAATGGTTTGGGACCTCATTATCTGATGCAGCATATTTTCCTAAGATTAGTCCACCTGGGACAGGTGTCGTGTCTGCAGGTTGAGGTCTGGAAAACTACCACCAGGAACTGGTCCTTCTTGGTGGTGGCCGCAATCCTATGGAATGCATTATCTGCAGAAATACGCCAGAAATCCCTCCCTCCTGGCCTTCAGGAAATAGGTAAAAAAATAAATATTTTTGTCTGAAAAAAATACAAGAGCCTTAGCAGATAAAACAGAGCACTTAGAAAACACAGAATGAGTGTGTTATATACATAATGTAGATAGGACTGTAATGAGGGGCTAGCAACTGGGGCTTTGCCCCAGGCCACCACCATTTAATAATAATAATAACATGCCGCCAAGTCAGTTCTGACTTATGGCAATCCTTTTCAGGGTTTTCCAGGTAGAGAATACTCAGAAGTGGTTTAAGAAATAAATGAGCGTCATCCTCTGACCTTCAGTGAATGGGGAAAAGGGAATTCAAGTCCCCCATTCAGGTAAGTTTCAATGTGTATTAACTCTCATTATATGTACCACTGTTTTATTATAGTCTGCCATTGCCTTTTCTTTACAGAGACGACATATTTTGGTGTCTAATAAAAATTATATATTGAGGCAGAACTTGCTCCTGACATATTTTGGTGTTGAAAAGTAGTGTCTAATTAAAATTATATATTGAGGCAGAACTTGCTCCATTCTATCATGTTTATTAACATTTTGTATTCACATAGTGATTGTTGGCTAACACCACATATAAACAAACAGTCATGCAGTTGATTTGAGGAAACTTTCAAGGGGAAAAGGAGAATGAGAAGCCAGGAACTTTGACAGAAAAGGGTTGCTCAGTCCTTCTAGCAGATTTTTCATCCTATAGTTGTTACAACCACAGATTTTCTTCCCACTCTCCTCAAACCACAGCACCCAAAAGTGAATTTGATTGAATTAAAAATGAATCTTATTGAAATCTGATTTAAATCCTTCCTCTTTAGTGGTTTGTGCAATAGATTAATTTATTATATAGCAACATAAAACTCAAAAGTACTTCAGCAAAGTGATTATGTTTTTTTCCAGCTGAAGACAGCACTGGATTTCTAATAAGCACCAGATTTTGTTCATTTATTTCCAGATTTAGAAGTCTAGCAAAAATAATTTTTGATGAGACTCAAACTCATATGGCTGCATATCAGTGGCGAACGATAGAGCCTAATGTAAAATAATGTCAGCACAGGATGCCAGGGTTGTATCTGCAACTCTCTGTGTTGCTAAATTCCACCTGTCACCTGTGCTGGTTGGCAATATTGCATGGTAACAGGCCTTTGCGGGGTCTGATGATGGTGGGAGCTGAAGTATACGGATACTGTATTATTGCACACTTTGAGAGCTTTCATTCTGTGTCATATATTGGTGATGCACAAGATGGCCAGAACTGATGCATGCTGTCAAGGCCACAGATTTTATAGAAGTTTGCAACACTTCTGCACATACTTAGAAC